TAATGCTAAGTCTATGACATAGGGATAACATGGGTAATGCTAAGTCTATGGGAGTAATGTTATTTCAATGGGATAATGCTTTTTATATGACGATATACTAAATGAATCTGACATAATAAATTGAACTAATTGTTGTCAAAAACATTTAAAATTTTCAAAATAACAATAATGAAAGTATTCCAACAATAACATTGAAAAATTTAAAATCTTTAATGCATCCCCGAATTGTGGTTAACGTATAGCATCGCTGTGTGATCCTTGTTTGCTGTAATATTTGAATATGATGGCCGACCGTGTGGTTGTCCGGCAGAAGTAGCGCCCGTTTGTTGAGAGTTTACAGACACTTTGACCGACAGACAGTTTTTCCAGATGTTTAATACCGTCCGTAATGTGAGGTGTGATTTGGGCCAGACTTAGGAGCACGTCGTCGTTCACGAGGCTTTCGATGCGATTAATAGACCTTTGCTGTTGTTTGAAGAGTGGGGCCAGAGATATGTAGACCTCGAGTTTGGCTGAGAGACTGACCACTTTCTCCCGAATATTAATGAGAGCGGCGCACAAAGAGTCGACTAAATCCGAGATTTGCTTCCGTTTTGGTTCCGTTAGAGCCTTGTTGGCCTGTATTCGGCGCATTTTTTTGTTGGCCTCATTGCTGGTGACGTTCTTCAGAAGTTGTGGGTCTTGTGTTTCGACGTCTCCATCACACTCTCCGTCTTCACACCAGTCGTTGTTATCGATCTCTTCGTCCATTTCGGAGTCCATATTCTTCTGGTGTTTGAAGTCTTCGGGTGTGGACGACGGCGACGACGGCCCCCGCTTTGGCATTAATTAGTTGTGCCCTCTCTTGTGTTTTTGTTGACAATATATAACACGTTTGAAAACAATGCGCGAACAGTTGCGCAGATGACCCAAATATTTTGCCACAACTGTCCACTCTTTGGTTAGATTCCCGGCGATTGCGATGAAATTCCCAAAAATGGTGTCCAAATTCGTATTCCAGAGATTTTTAAATACAAGATTTGACCCAAAATTATTGAAAATTGGATAAATTTTAACGCAATTTAATCAATAAAATAGGAGCAATATTTTAGGCAACTGTTCACTCCAACGTATGTGCCTCAGCATATACGACGTCCTGAGCCAAAGGGCATCTATGGCGTCGATTTTGGTTTCACAAACTGCCCAGCGTCGTTTTGAAAGCGACCCGGATCAAACTGGTTGGCGTGTGGCCAATGATTATCATCAAGCAACATGTTGTAAGAGTGTTGCAATACGATTGTTTTGTTGGCAACTGGATATTTACCAGCTTAATGTAATGCAAAATTAATTAATTTTATAATAATAGAATACAAATATTTTTGATATATTGATAGATAAAGTGTAATCATTATAATTGTTGTTTAATCGCATATTTATTACCGATTGTTGTGTCGCATAGAGTGACGCGCGGAGAGCCGACGGGAGTGCCGTTGCGATAGCGTAGGGTCTCAGCGATGAACGCCTGAACGCAATGCATGCGCCGCCTGTCACCCAATGTGACCACTTTATCGGCCAACACGTGATCGATCTCTACCCTCATCTTTCTCTGCCAGTCCTCAAAATAAGCCGCAAATAATACCATCCATTCAAGTGTGGCGTATTTGGTCTCTGTGCTAGTAATGGTTAAAATGAATTCATCATGATTAATTAACGTAATTTTTATATTATTTACCACTGTGCTATAAAAATATTGTTTCTCACTCTCCATGCGTGTTTTATTTATACCGTCTATTGTGAACAATTGAATTTTTAAATAACAATTTTGATTTAAAAAAAATATTTTAAATTAATTTATTGTTTGTATTATATTGTTATTTAGATAATTTATTTAGACTATTTAGATAACGATATAATAAACAATTAAATTATTTACCAAAAATCAAGTCAATAAGTGTGGCGACAATGTTATGGTCGGTCAACCACTGGACAACTCCGGGCCGACACTCGGCCTCGAACTTAAGCTGAGCGCTAATAAACGACAAACGCTCTCATCGTAAGTGTTTTTGTGTGCTTTCAATACGTCTAACGTATAATCAAAACATTGCTTATAATTGTGACGATATTTCATCAAAGGGTCGGACAATAACAGCCGAGCATAAGGTATAAACTCGTAGACAATATAAGAGCCATCCAATGAAATGGGAATAAGCAGTGGCCAAATATTTGAACTTGCTCAAATCACCTGGTTCCAGTCTAGTAAATAATAACATAATTTTAGTTATTATATTATTTTTATGAAATTATACTTTTGATTAAAAGTAGTCAACAAAATATTGTTGAAAATCATGTCAAAGAGATAAGCTTTTGGTATAACCAGTCGATCAATGCCTTCTTTGGCCACCATTTATGTAGTGATGTCCGAAACGATTGCATTTACAATACGCTTGAAATCAATTGTTTTTGTGTGTTCACTGCAATATTTGTATTAAAACAGTATTTCCAACTAAATTAACTTGGTTCATGTCATTCATTTAAATTAAAAGTATATAAAATGGTATAATATTCATATATTTTATATTATTACCTAGGGCTATTACCTATTACTTGATAACCACTGATAACTCTAATGCTAATATCAATGTTTGTATAAAGATATTTAATTAAAATGTTAATTACAAATCAATGTAAATATTACACTAATTGTACAGTTTGTAACTTTCAATTTGACTAATAAGTGTATAATAGCCTAATACCAAATTGGTCATATCATTGACTTGTGTAAGACATTAATACTTTTGTGAGATTAAAAGAATTACTCATCAAATAGTGGCTCAAATTGTAAATATTAATAGAACAATTAAAATATACAAAAGTCTCAATTGATTACAACAAGTTTTTAACTAATTAAGAAAACTAATTAAGCAATTAATCATATGGTGTGATGAATACGGAAAGGATAATAATTATTATGATTTGTTTTGCAATTTCTAAAATTATAAAAACATAATAAACTGAATTAAATCAATTCACAGAAAAATATAGTATTTAATTGACCAGTCAAATAACATGGTAATTCTGTTACAGTTCATTTTACAATTACTATTTGCATTAGTTTAATAGTCGCTCCATACCTGAGGGCCGTGTGAGCGACCTTGCGCAAACATTCCCAACTGGACAGGTGTGAGCTAATTAAAACATTACGGTCATCAGTATTGTTGAAAATACGCGCTAAAAACAATAAAAGTTCATTGTAAAATTATCATGATGCAATTATGTTTCATACATACACAATGAAATGTTGAGTCGTCCCATGAATTCTGGCCGAGAAAATGCCCGTTTAGTGACATCGTTGTAACCGATAATTACTACTGGTTTGGGTCGACCCATACGGTCACTCCCGGGCCGGATATTTTGTACAACTGTCTGAAGTGGTCATTTCAGTGCCCTTTTATATTACTAAACCCTTTTTGTTATAATTGTTAATTAAATGTTATATTTTATATTTACGTAATATATTGCCAATCAATGGCAAAGGAGTCGGACCGGGCGGATAGTTGCTTAGGTTGGCGTAGAAGTTACATAAGTAATAAATAATTAGAAAATTGGCTATTGTTATCATCAGCGATACTAATGAAACATTTTGATAATTAATTTGTGTTCAACATGATCTCATTAATAGTCATTTTGCTTTGAAAACATACAAATATGTTTATAATTCAATATAACTATGCAGTGAAGCGCAAGTTTCAGCCAAAAACTCTTTAATGTTTAGTATTTCATTGATTTGGTCTAAAATAATAAATTATTTATTGTGTTATTTATTTTAAATTTAATAAAACAATGAATGCGTATAATATTTACTTTTATCATGACAAATGTATTGTTTGCCAAAACACCTAGCGCATTTATCGATGGCTCGCACGACACAGTCCACAGCGTAGATGATAGTGCCGTCCAAATCAAATATAACGTGTGTGGCTGTAGTTGTGGCCATTTTTTACGCCATTACTAACACCTGTACACTGATATTTTGCGTATTTCATAGTAAATATAAAATTAATTAAGTAAAGTTCTAATATTGTTTATTAATTTATTTACATGTAAACATTAAGGTGTCGGTAATTTTTATTTTTACTTTCATATAACTTGTAAGTAATAGATGGAGGCAAAATGTTCAAACTTAAATTTAATTAAAATTAATTAGTATCAGGTAATCGCTACACGTATATAATTTTTGTAAATGTAATGTAATTAGTCGGACATATTGGATAAAAAAGTGCAAACATCTCAAAACAAAACATTTTTATGCATTTTTAAAAATATGATACGACTTGATTTGGTTAGATCTTGATTGTAAGTAAATGATTATAGATTTCTATTATAATTATTTAATAAATACAATTTTATATATTAGTATATAATTATTAATTATTTATTCAACTATTACATATTATTTATGTTAAAAATAACAATAATTATGTTATTAAAATAAAATTTCTGTATAACCTATTATCCAAGTTATGATACATTAGTTTCTTTAAAATTGTATAGAATGTATAAATTACAATTTATTATTACAGGTAATGTTTGTAACGCTAATGACAAGGCACAGTGGCTAATTAACCTAACTGACCTAATTGACCTAGTGACCGTATGGGTCGACCCAAACCAGTGGTAATCAGCGGCGACCGGATGTCTCTAAACAGGCATTTTCTCGGCCAGAATTCATGGGACGACTGGACATATCATTATGTATGTAAACAACATAATTGCATCATGATAATTATACAATGAAATTTTATTGTTTGTAGCGCGTATTCCCAACAATACTAATCACCAGGATGTTTTATTTAGCTCACACCTGTTCAGTTAGGAATGTTTGCGCAAGGTCGCTCACAGAGAAGTCAGGTATGCTATTACTTTAAAACTAGTTACGAGTGTCAATATTAATTGTATTACAATTATTCAGTATTACAATTAAATTTGACATATTAAGTAAAAAGTTTATTTTTCTATGAGTTTTTTAGTTTTAATGTTAAAAATATTTTTAAAATTCTGAACTGACTATCTAATTCATGGACAATCCAGGTCATTTCCGGGCATCTAATCAGTTTATTTATCGCATAATTGTGTGTTTTTTTAGTTCAAAATTGTAACAATATTAGACAATACTCAACAAATTTGCTCATTGACAAATAAATAACAATGGTCATCTATTACTTACTCAATACTCAATTAAATACTCAATACAGTATTTCTAAAAACGTTTTGAAATATATAAATTTAATTTTGGTAAATTTAAGCAAGTTTAAATCTATTTTGTATTTGTTTTATTTACTAATAGAGAACCGGTTTCATTAAAGTGTTTAACTAAAAATTAATTATATTTTACACAAATTACATATTTGTATTCATTTACGTTAGGCGTCAGCATATCTCACATATTCTACTTTACATTCTATGAATAAATGCAATAATCATTGAATTTGTAATTTGTCCCTGGTGCATGTATTATAAATTAAATGTCATAATTAAAATTCTTGACATATGTTGTATTGTTCTGAAAACGCGATCCACTTCTCCAACACGACATGTTAATAATGTTTAAATATAATATTTTTAAAAAGTCCCATAGGTTAACATGCAAAAATTGCCATAGTTTGGTGACATGCTGTGTAAAATCCTGCAATCCGATGAATGTGGTTCTAAGTTATTATTATACCTATGTCTTCTAATCTCATTTGAAGGCAGGTAGAAAATCTACGCCAACGGGTTTTAAGTAAACCGAATACATTTTCAATGACACGACGGGCCCGACTGTGCCGGCGATTAAATTTTCGTTGACTTTGATCCATGTTTAGATTGAATGTGTACGGCTTCATAAGCCAAGGTTTTAGTGCGAAAGCACTATCACCTAATATATGATACGGGACGTCGACATCACCATAACGCTTTGTTCCTGATGGAAATAATTTACAGTCATCGGCATTTTTATAAATTGATGTGTGCTTAAAAGCACCAGCATCATTTGTTCTGCCAGGAATGCCACTTTTAACGTAATAAACCTAGGTAAATAAAATTATAAAACAGTGTTATATGTAGTGTATACTGTATATAAACTATAGTCAATCAATACATACAGATTAGTCATATTAACTATGAATCACTATATATTTAATAGTAAATACAATACACTATTTATAATTACTTTATAATTGGCATCACATATTACTAAACATAATATTGAATGCCATCCTTTATAATTGTAATAATCTGTTGCTAAATCGATGGGAGCATTAATTGGTATGTGTGTGCCATCAATAGCTCCTACAGCCATAGGCCATTGCCATCGCTGTTCAAAATCAATGGCCATTTTCTCAAATTGGTCATTTGTTGGCCATTGTATCATATCCGGTACAAATCTTTTATGGAATGATGTGATGAAAAGTTTGACACAACGCCAAACAGAAGTCTTTCCAATTCCAAACTTTGCACCAATTTCTTTATACTCGCTATTTGTTGATAGAACCTAATATACAGATTTTGACAAGCAAAAGTACCGTCGGTATAATTGGAATTAATATTAACTGGATGATTATATTTTAAATCTGACTTCAGCATGTTAAAGATTATTATACTTACACATAAAGCCACAGCAATCTTCTTTTCGACGGGTATTGCTTTTCGAAATTTAGTATCTGATGTACTTATATCATTGTAAAGTTTATTTACAATATTAAAAAAGGTTTTCCTATTCATTCTAAAATTTTCTTTAAATACATCATTTGTCATTTTAGGCACTAATACTTCAAACCATCCAATGTTTTGATATGTGGGTTTTGTTATAAACCTTCTTTGTTTATAACACCTTTTATAAAATAAATATAAAGAATGGTATTAAAATTGATTACATTATAAATTGTTTTATTTCTGAATGAATTAATTGATGTGAAGTTAAATGACTTTTATATTTGGTNATTTAATTTACTCTTCATTTCAATCAACGAAACACTCATTAATTTTGAACACATTTTAAATAAAATATATTCATTATAGTTAATATTTACTTACATTTTATTTAAATTTTCAATTAACATTAGATATGTTGTATATGCTTCAATTAGAGAAGTCATATACTCCAATTCTTCATTTAGTAAATTAATTTCATATTCAATTAATTCAATTAAACAATTAAAATAAGTCACAATTGAAAACATAAACATTGGCCACATGTCATCCATGTTTTGACACAATAAAGTATAGAGATAGGAACGCACTTCACTTTAAACGTACTTTATTTCGAGTGGAGTGTGTTTCAAGTAAAGTATAATAGGGACAAACCCTTAAAGTAATAGCATACCTGACTTCTCTGTGAGCGACCTTGCGCAAACATTCCTAACTGAACAGGTGTGAGCTAAATAAAACATCCTGGTGATCAGTATTGTTGAACATACGCGCTACAAACAATAAAAGTTCATTGTAAAATTATCATGATGCAATTATGTTGTTTACATACACAATGATATGTCAAGTCGTCCCATGAATTCTGGCCGAGAAAATGCCTGTTTGGCGACATTCGGGTCGCCAATGATTACTACTGGTTTGGGTTAACCCATACGGTCACTAGGTCAATTAGGTCAGTTAGGTTAATTAGCCACTGTGCCTCTTTATTAGCGTTACAAACATTACCTGTAATAATAAATTGTAATTTATTATTTATATTCTATACAATTTTAAAGAAACTAATGTATCATAAACTTGGATAATAGGTTATACAGAAATTTTATTTTAATAACATAATTATTGTTATTTTTAACATAAATAATATGTAATAGTTGAATAAATAATTACTAATTATATACTTATATATAAAATTGTATTTATTAAATAATTACAATAGAAATCTATAATCATTTACTTACAATCAAGATCTAACCAAATCAAGTTGTGTCATATTTTTAAAAATGCATAAAAATGTTTTGTTTTGAAATGTTTGCACTTTTTTATCCAATATGTCCAACTAATTACATTACATTTACAAAAATTATATACGTGTAGCGATTACCTGATAGTAATTAATTTTAATTAAAAAAGGATAGCCACTCCTAATGCTAAGCTGGCCCCGCTGGCCTGGTCACCATCTAACATAATATGAATTATTTGCAATAATAGGTTCTTAGATAAAACTAAAGACAAATCACATCAACAAATAACGTTTAAAGCATAAATAACGTACAAAAAATGTAATGCATTTTTAATTTTTAAAATAACTTTTTTATCTGATGTCCGAATTACAAAATTCCTTCAGATCCCTATTGCTCTCATCAAATCCTTTCCGTTGATATATAATATGACACATATATCACTCAAATAAGTTTTTAATTAGAGTAAATTTTCCCGATAAAAGTGGTCACTACTTCGGCGCCCGATGTCTTAGGAACATATGGACAACATTTTCAAACACCTCTAACTATGGTCTATCTTTTCCATATTAAATGGTGACTAGGCGAGCGGGGCCAGCGTTAGCATTATGAGTGGCTATTCTTCTTTAAGTTTGAACATTTTGCCTCCATCTATTACTTACAAGTTATATTAAAATAATAATAAAAATTACCGACACCTTAATGTTTACATGTAAATAAATTAATAAACAATATTAGAACTTTACTTAATTAATTTTATATTTACTATGAAATACGCAAAATATTAGTGCAAACGTGTTATTATTAATTATAAACTGTATTTATTTGGCAACAAAATACACCAAACAGTTTGTCCATATCTATTGTGGTGTCAAAAGTAATCTTCACTCCAAGATTTTAAATTTTGAAAATATTTTGATCAGGTTATTCAATAATGATCTACGAATATTTGTATAAATAAATATAACAAATATTTAAATCATTTTACACTTACTATATCAGAGTCTAAGATACGTATATCACTTGTTTTATATTTATAATCTATGTAATCTATAAGTTATAGACTATAACTTACATTTTGATTACCATGTGCAAAATTACTAAGTGCTTTCAAAGGTTGAACATTTGGGTGTGAATTATATTTGGCACCACAATAGTTATGGACAGACAGTTTATTGTGTTTGTTGTCATTTAAATACAGTTTCAATTATATGATATGTTTTATAAAACTATTTATTAAACATTTAATTTAAACAAAATTGCAAAAATTTGTAGCATTTATAAATCTATTGCATATATTGTAAAGTATATAAATTTATTGAATATTGCTATACTTTAAAATTAATTATTTTAAAAAAAATTAAATTAAAGTAAAGCCGACTAAACCAGTAACCAATCATGATATCAATTGATTAATAAATTATAAGCTAATATAATGATT